TAGCATTGCCACCGACCGCTGTCGGGTTTCTCGGAAAAAAAGAAACCTACGTCGCCGGGCGACAACTAAAATCCAGTTAATATTTTATTATAATCGATCCTGACGAATAAATGAATGAATTTTATAAATGAATGGTTTTTGCTGCCGAATTACTAGAATACAATATTTCAAGACAGATGACGCATCTATTCGATAATTTTTATTCGAATAGTTTTCAACGAATGTTTTTTTACTAGCTATCGAATTATTCGAATGAATTGCAACTATCGAATGTTTCGATAGTATTCATTCGATAGTTCCCACTACTAATTTCAACTATCGAATGGTTTTATTCGAATAAAATCATTCATTCATTTGTATACTAAAGCATATGTGACAACCTCGCCGTGCGACTAAATGGTTATCGTTGAGCCAAGACTATCGAATGCTTTTGATAAATGAAATTTAGTATTCGTTTGATTTTTGTGTGCGTCAGTGCATTATTAGTTCTACCAAATTTTTATAGTTTCACCTTATAAATACTGTGCTATTTTTGCGTTTATTAAAATATTTAAAATACTAAAATAGTAGTTTTTTTTAATTGACGATTGTGTGCGTGTGCAGGTGTCAAAATTTTTCCGAAAATTTTTGTGATTTTCCGTAGCCCGATCTCTCAATTATTTTATTTTATATGGTATATATGGTCTATTTTTTAATGGGAAATTTTGAGAAGTAGCAATTTTTAAGAGAGATGAGATGAACTTAGAATTAATTTTAAAAATACATATTTGTATTTTAGATGTTTTAATAATATGAATTAGTTGAACTTAATAATCATATTTAAGTAATGTGGTTAAGTAAATGGTTATCGAACTCAAACTATGGGGTGAGAAAATTAAATTGAAAGTTTTACACGTGCCAATTTAAAAAAAAAGTTAACGATGTTTGTATTTTGTTTATGCTAATTCTCTTACCATGTAGTTTTTTGCGATGAAATATTTCATTTATTTAGTTTCATTTACTAGAGTTTAAAGTAAATGCCAGTAAAAGTAAATATTATTTTTAAATAGTAATATAAAGTACCTAATATAAATAATTTTGATTTCTAATTTTTTATTTATATTTTTCTTCCGTTACACTCCATGCTTAGAAAATTAATAAATGTTTATATATCATGATTTTAAAGTTTGTTGTTAATATAACAAATTAGTTCTGTAATTATTATTATTTAATAAACCAACGTTGCCACAAAAAATTTAAAGACTATATTATTTTTAAATAGGATCTAATATAAATAATTTTGACATCTAATTTGTTGTTTATATTTTGCTACTACGTAAAAAAAATGTGTATATTAAATTATTTTAAAATTTGTTGTTAATAGGTATAACAAATTATTACTGTTATTATTATTTTTATTAAACCAGTCTTTGCTTAAAAACATTAAAAATCATTTTCCTACATCCAAAATAACAAGTATTATTGCAGTGTAACAACAGAATATTAATAAAAAAAATGCAAAATATATAGACATACTATCCCTAACTAACTAAAGCCAAACAATAATATTCTTTGCTAATGTCAACTAATACCAATATATGGCAACAGCGCCCTTCGTAATGTATTTTCTGTGTTAATACTAGCACCTCAATAAAAAAATAATGTGTCCTTATCTTTATATGACTCCGCAAAAAATCAAAGTGCCGGCTTCTTTCATAGCATTGCCACCGACAGCTGTCGGGTTTCTCGGAAAGAAACCTACATCGCCGGGCGACAACTAAAATCCAGTTAATATTTTATTATAATCGATCCAGACGAATAAATGAATTTCCTAAATGAATGAATTTTATAAATGAATGGTTTTTGCTGCCGAATTACTAGAATACAATATTTCAAGGCAGATGACGCATCTATTCGATAATTTTTATTCGAATAGTTTTCAACGAATGTTTTTTTACTAGCTATCGAATTATTCGAATGAATTGCAACTATCGAATGTTTCGATAGTATTCATTCGATAGTTCCCACTACTAATCTAATAGTTGATATTATTAATAATATACCGTATGATCGAAAAAAAACAGCGCAAAGTTGGCTTGGAAATGATGATTAATAACATACTGTTTTTTGAACAAAGTGTCACAATATTATTATGAGTTGACCAGATCTATTGTTTTACATCACTTGACATTGTAAGGCTATTTCTTTGGTTCTGTGAAAAATAGTTTTATTGACGCCCAGTGGTAAATCTAGATCTCTCGGGCGCCACCTCTGTTATTTATAGTGGTAGAGGTCTACAGTGGAGACTTCAGGTATGAAGGGGTGCAGGTAAAGACAAAATAAAACAATCAGTTTAAATTAAAATAATATATACAATCTTTTTGAGGTTGAGAAGCAGCCGTAAAGTCTTGGCTCAGTTGTTTCGCGCAAAATGGCGCGGATTAAGATTCTACGCAAGCGCGAGACATTCTATTTTCTAAACAAGGGCGCATGCGCGGCCCTGAGAAGGAGGCAATGGATGGATGCCTCACCCTAGTATTTGCGGTCGGGGAATGTACTGCGCATGTGTTAACTTTCGAAAGTTAGGATGACTTTCGAAAAACGTCTGGTTCCAACACAGCGTTTCAGTTGGCTACACAGTGTCTTGTTACCAGCGTTGCCAGGTGTCGGAAATGAAATTATGGATCAATGTAGATAAAATTATCGAATTTATCACAAAATTATGTTACAAGCCATATATTTCGTTCTGAGGGAATTATCTAAAAAATATGATAGCAATAAATTTGGATCCTATTTTTTGTTGGTTTAACTTATTTTTAATAGGTTTCAAACGTATTTTCTCAATCAGTTTTATGATATCGGGGTTTGGTTTCTCGTCTGCCCGCATTTTTAAATCGGAATTACTTGATTCGTCGAGAATATTTAGTGCTCTAGACCCTGCCATTCTTTTAAACTTTAAACCATTTGAGTCATTTTGCATTAACTACCTTAAAGTTAATTTATTTATCATAAAAATATAGTTCATGACTGATAAAACATTAATTATGGCAGGTTACCAAATTATGTTACAATTATCGATTATGGTACAGATTTTTTTTGGCAAAATTTTGTTCCAAAATTATGTTACAATTCAATAATTATGTTACGTCTGGCAACACTGCTTGTTACTTTCTAAAAGAAAATCGGGCACCGCATGCGCACCGGGACGAAAACGGCAGGCGGCCTCCTGACATCTGTCGGATACATATACGTATTACTTTTTACAAATATACTCAGCCTAATCTCCAAAAAGTGAAGCCCAAACAGTGAAAGAACAATATGGAATTCTGCATAAGTCTATTTCACCCGGATATTCATTTAACTGAGCATGCCTCACCTGAAGAAGTTTTCATTCGTCGATGTTTTTAAAGGGAAGTGGTTGACTGACATTTCCCCTAACCTTCAATTTTATTTATATTATTATTATTTATAACACATTATCATGAAGTTGGAAAAATATCAAAAAATAGTTGGAAACAATAAACTAAACAAAATCACTCTTTTACGCGCACAAATAAAAAGTAATCCAAACAGAACTAAAACAACAATCAATCGGAGTTTGGCGCAATCGCAGTTCAATCCATATCCGGGTGAAATAGACTTATGCAGTTTTAATATGGAGCTGGGTTATGTTGTCTTTTTCTTACGGCACAGAAATTGCACACGGGGTTAAATAGGGAACCCTGAGTATATTTGTAAAAAGTAATACGTATATGGTCGGATAGCCCAGGCGTGGCAAGATCGCGAAATCAAAAAGTTACTAGTTAAACCCTATCTTAACCCGGAGAAGAAACTTGTCTTTCGTTTGTTCACTAGCCCACAATCCAACCGTACGTGAAAACAGCACCCCACGGTCAAAATTGTAGTTTTTTCACGCTTTCCCTTCAATCACGGATGGATTAGGCACAGGAAACGCCTCCCGACAGTACTTGTGAAAATACTGACCAGAGGACGCTACCTACTGCTCTTCATAGTCAGCCACCTTTTGAAAGACAGAGAACGGCCTTTCTCAATTTAATGTAAAGCCGCTCACCGCTTTTCCGAAGGCGTTGGCTAGGACACACGTTCACGTGATTGAGCGAGAAAATCTGAAAGGAAAGTTTTCAAACGACACGATTCACTTGATGAACAACGTGGCGTAGCACTACACTAGACCAGACACTGCGCAAGACAGGATGGCAGGATTTTACGAAAGGTGCGGGGAGTAGTCGGGTGAGCACTTTCTAGAAAGCGAGGCTTTCTATCGGGTTTTTACCTTCGGAGGAGCAGAGTTCAGCTGTCGACTAATCGCCAAACCCAGGTACCAAGCAACTGACTACTTTTGATTTTCTAAAGGTACTGCTCTCGTCTACAGGAGTGGGTAAAGCAGCACACAGTGGGGGGGTTACGGCGCGCGCCGTATCTCTGCGAGTATCGATCGACACGAACCAAGACTGTACTACTTGCTTTTAACAAAATAATTATTTTATAAACAATTTGATAATTAAAAGCTAATTAATTCAATCACTACAAATTAATCATCACAAAAATTAAGTAACATCGTTACAACGTTTAAAGTCATAGACTACTGGTTAAAATCAAGAATAATATACGCTTTAAAACTAAATATTAAATAAGTTAAAAACAATTTATTTTAGGTATAGGAACATGTATATAAAAAAAGTAACGAATTGAAAAGCCTTTTCACTAGTGAAACAAAAAAAAGTGGGTTTCCATTTAAAAAAAAATAATTTATGATAATTTCTTAATCACTCAATTCCATGACAGTCATAATTATATGACATTCGAACAATTTAATTTTTGAAATATTTAGCCACATGTCTTCTCTTTATGGCACAGTGGCTGTGGTAATCACTAAATTTGACGTTTAGGCTATATACATATTTTTAACAGGCAGTTTTTTGTCCAAAAATTTTAAATATTTTTTTCTCAGAATTATAAAATTTTTATTGCTTAATTTTATATCTGCAATACTTGTTTAGACACTATGGAAACATCCGATGTTCAAGAGACAATGGTAATCGTTTACGAAGATAACAGTTCCCAAGGCGCGGTATCTGACGAGGAGGAAATTTATACTGTAAACGAAGACGGCGAAGTGCAAGAAGCTGTCAAAAAGAAGCGCGGAAGTAGGAGTTTAGAGGAACAGGCCTCCGGTAAATCGCCCCGTCCTCGCGGTAGAAAGCCGAAAACCGAGATACCCCTGCACATTTTGGGGCACAACGTTACTAAACCGGTGGACAGCGCGGTCAACGGCAAGTCGGCTCCGAAACCGCGGTTGGGCGTTAAGGTTCCCTACAGGAATCTGACCAGTCAGATCGTATCCAAGGCGGAGATCGAACAGGAAATAATGGACAGAAACAAAAAGAAGGAAAGCAAAGGTAAATGAAACGGTTAATGGTTAAATAAAGGTCATGCAAAATAAAAACCGTTGCACGTCATCGATTATACGCTATGTTATGTGTCTTTAAAGCCGCGCCGCGTCCACATAGCTCGCTGGTAGAGTTTTATTTACCTCTTTCTTTAACCGGATTACACTTCCTAAAAGTTGTATTTTTTCTTTCTATACGGGGGCCAACTAAGTTGTAAGTCTTTCAAAATCAGTAGCGGACATGCGATAAAAAAATATTAAAAAACATTTTGTCTGTTTGTAAATTGCGTAGATGTTTACTTTCACTGTGCTGGGATCTACTTTTGAAATTATTAAACATCCAACACCGCCTTTTTTCCCTTTGTCTCCTTCGTTTTGCAATAATAATCGCGCTAGCAGCCGCTATTAAAAATACTTCGGTATCATCTATGTCTGAACAGCACGAATGCAAGCACTATATTACAATGTGGACGCCGTTGCTTGCGAGCCGAAAGATCTTGAGAAACACGACAAACATGAAGCGCAAGCAACGCAAGCACCATCAGAAGCAAGAACGCGAGCAGGATCACGAGCAATGTGGACGCACCTTTAGAGCTTTTAAAACTTTTATCTAACGATCGAAAATTATTGTTTTTGTAATAATTGTTATGTAGTAGTTATCAGTTTTGTGTTTGCAAAATACTCAAGCAATTAATCATAATCGCTGCCAAGAATTAGAATTAGTTTTCTATTACAATCTAACAACAATGTTGTCTAAAATGTAAGCACATGCTCGATGACGTGCAATGGTTTTTAATTTGTATGACCTTTATTTTATATGGTCATTTTTTGACTGGAAGTAAAAAATTGTAACATTTTTATAGTGGCGCACCTCATTCACCTCGGTTGATTATAGGAAAACAGAAGGATGTAGAAAGAAAATATTTTATGGGTATATGTAGGAAGGCAATGTGTACACAATTTAAAATTACTTTGTAATACAGGGTGTTTTAGAACTAAATTCCATACATACCAAAGTTATATTTTTTCTTATGGAATACTGGGTATTTTAATTCATTTTTGGATTCTTGGACCTAAAAAAGGCATTTATTATAAGGGTTAAATATGTTTAAAATCTTTGCTTTTGAAATATTTAACGATATTTACATATGCATGCTACAATCGAATAGATTATCAAAACCCTGTACATTATTTTTTAGAAATAATTCTTGTGCTGACTTTAAAGGTAGAGAAATAAACTTTACTGAAAAATTTTATTGCTTTCTTAAATTTATACGGGGGTACCAAAAATTGCTATTTATATTCTATTATAAATATTTATTTTACATAAAAACTTTGTTATTTCAAATCAAGAAAAATAAGTAGTACCTATTGGCGGAACAAATGGATATGTTACTAGTGATATTATTCTGTGAGGAAAATTGCTTCTTGGCCACAAGGGCTTATGCTCAAATATATCTAAATAGGAATCTTCTTGATAAGTGTTCCTTTAAAAAACTACTTGTCCTATCTCCTAGAACTGATAGAGTGTGTTTATAAAAAACCTATTAGGTAGAAACCTGTCGTTGGAAGTGAAGAAAATGAATTTGCCGTAATTAGCTCTTTTATAGAAAAATAATCCATATCTACATATCATCGTAAAATAAACCAAAGAACTACTTCTTCATTTTTCTTGATAAATTAATAAAAACATATTTAATAAATATTATTTATTAGACTATTGTAGGTAAATTGAATAAAAGTAAACTGCTATAAATTTAAATAAAGCCTATAAATTAATTTTGATTTTGAAAATAGCTACTAAGTGTCACTAGAAACTTGCCATGGCGACACCGGCCCTCTTGGTTGCCATTTTATTGAAAAATCGGTCTTTATTAGGTATGTATAGAGGTATAAATATATAATATAGTTTCATGCTTTGAGCATTTAAATCTGCTTCAATTTATTTTCAAATTTTTTCAAGTATAACCCCTGTATACATTACACGAAGCGATTAAATTTTTCAGTACAGTTTATTTCTCTGACTTAAAAGTCAGCACAAGAATAAATTCTGTAAACTAATCTACAGGATGTTGACAATCTGTTTTGTTATAGCAAGGATGTTTAAATATCTTTAAATCAAATAATAAAATTATAATAAATAAATGCCTTATTTTGTGTCCAAGGATCTAAAAATTAAATAAAATACCGGGTGTTCCTTAAGAAAAAATATAACTTTGGTGTGGATCTTAATTCTGACATATACTGTACATTTCAAAATAATTTTAAATTATGCACATTGCCACTATTATTTATTTCCAGTGTTTACAAATAGCACACAAAAGTAGCGCAAACGGACATGGAAACATTGTCAAAGAGAAATAAAATTAATTAATTTTTTGTTTAAACAAAAGTATATTTTTGTCATCTTTTTGGATGTCGTCTCTCGTAATTGTATATTCTCTTCCTAGGCACTTATTTATAAAGCAATAATAAGTAAATTTGGCATTATAAAAGTAATTTGTTAAGCCCCATCATTATGTTCAAAAGTGTTATCCCCATCATTATGTGAAAAACTGGTCCGTTTTACTTGAACTGTATTAAAAAGACCGTTTAGAGAAGTTTAGAGAAATGATAGAACCATTTAGTTTTACAACAAAACTGTCGTTTTAGCCTACAATAAAAAACTTTACTAGACACAATGCTTTATCTGATAAAACTGCAGATAAAATTTCCAGTGTATACCCTTGTTTTTAATCCGGTACTAAGACAGACGACCGTCTTGAGAACTGTCATCGGTTTTCTGTATGGTCTTCGGTTTTACCTGTCACGCAAAACTGACAGGTAAAACGTTAGGTGTAGGCGAAGCTTTAGGAGTAATGTTTATAAATTTAAAAAAATATAGTAGTATTTGGTAGTTTTCGTTTTTTTTAGAATTAAAATGTGCTGTATTTTACTATTTAAAATAAATCAATTTCAGGAGAAGGGCAAAAAATAAATAAAAACAGGCTATGTAGGTATTACTAATTCAGATATTCTAATTTAACTTGATAATTTTTTGTTCTATTGTACAAGTTTTTACAAAAATAGCTACATATTACACACTACAGCTTAAAAATATCCAACAAAATCCTTGGTTGATTTACATCCATTCTGTTTATTATAACTTTCTGCAATGATTTCAGTTACTCTTATACTACATAGTATTTGATGAATATAATTTTTGTTTTAGAATCAGCAGTGGCACGCCATCTGTCAGCCCGCATTACCAAAAAGTTTGTACCGCCCAGTTCTGATCCCCTCGCGGTTACTGAATCGGATATATCCGCAAAAGCGGTATGTTATACACTCTTTTTTTATTTATTTAACGTGCATTAAAGAAATTATTGCTTTACAGTCAGCGAAAAAAACACCAGTGGAGAAAACTCCAGCCGCTGAAGACGATACAACGGAGGAATCATCAAAAGACAAACAGACTGACAGTATTGAAAACAACTCAGATTTATTGGCTATTTTAGAAGGTATTATATAAATTATTAAAAATAATGGAACACTTTGCATTTTGCATTGCTTATAAACTAATCAAAACGAATTAGGTATCGCTTTGATAAATTTCGTTTAAACAAAGAAAATGAATTTATTTAAACATATAAACTTAGCAATATGTTCCTTAGGAATTAAGTTTGAATGTAGTGTATGCACCTAGGTGTTCATGACGAAAAAAGTTGTCAAACTGCTGAAAATTGTATTTTTATTACGTTATGAATGACTACAATATGTATCGAAAACAATGTTAAATAGTTTTTATCTTAATTGTCAACGGAAATATTTTTGTTCCTAATAATGTGTGTGTCCTCTGTACCTGTAATTGTCATAGACTGAATGAGGCTCCGAATAATCTCTTGAGGAAAGGCGTTCCACGCCTCTCGAATATTTTCTCCCAAAGTTTGAAGATCTGGTGCTTCTGGACGACTTTATAGTTTTCTCTTTAGTAGGTCCCAAAGGTGCTCAATTGTTGTCCTTCATTCGCGAACTTCGAGTTCCGGGCTTTACGCCCTGGAGCTACTCGAGAACGGTTCTGAAAGGAGCTGTGCGCGATACTCTCGTGCCTCCATATGGCGCGGAACAGTTCTTGAACTTTATGACTCAATTGAATGGAGTGAGAGTATCGCGTTCTTGAACAGTTCAGAGCTGTTCAACTGCGTGAAAGGAGGACAGAAAATAGGATTGAGCAATTAAGGGTTATTAGCAGGCCAATCCATAATTGTGATATTGGACTCTTCAAGGTATCGAGTAAACTACTCTTGCGGTATGAGGCCTGGCATTATCCTGTTGTAAGATGAATTCTGGACCATGCTGAGCAGCAAACGGAATAACATATATGGTTTAAGAATTTCATCTCTGTGTCGTTCAGGATTAATTATACCGTCTAGAAACACATGCAGGTCTGTACGCCCATTTAAAGTTATACCTCCCCATACCATTACGGAACCTCCACCAAAACGAATTGCTTCTCTAACTGTTGTGTCCAGATACCGTTCATTCGGTCTTCTGTAAACTCTTTGCCAGGCATCATTATGACTTAGTTGAAAACTGTATTCGTCCTTAAAAAAGACGTGCAACCAATGATCCACGCTCCAGTCAAGATGTTCTTGAGCAAGTATCCTTCGTGTCTTGCGATGATTAGCAGTTAAATGCTGCACAACAACTCTCTGCTCGCCTTGACCGAATGGTAACTTCATGCAGCCTATTTCTTATAGTGTGAGTTGAAATTCGAGTTCCTCTGGCGATCGTAAGAAGATTTTGTAGGTTTCTTGCGGTAAGTGTTTTTTCAGCAAGAGTGGCTTGAACAAGATACCGATTTTTCCGCCTCGTTGTCCGCCTTACTCGTTGAGGATATGGTCTGCGGACAACAAAACCATATTCTCTGTGTCGATTCTATAGTCTGGAAATAACTAATTGTGTAACATGAAAAAGCTGTGACAAGTATCGTTGCGACCGATCCTTCTGCAATAAAGTTGTGGCTCTGATGACTTCTTCAGTATTTAAACGCCTTCTAACACCGTTTGGTCTTCCCAAAACATTAAAATTTGCTATATTTAACACCAATTTGGACGATCAATAAGGCAAAATCACACTAAATAAGAAACTTAGTTATTGTTATTTTTTTATGATGGGAAATAATTTCGTTTTTGTATCAGTGTATGCATGAAAATGAACAAAATTGTTCTGATGGTATGCTGCTATAAATATACGGAGATCGGTCTATAAATATAGTAAATACAGATACACATATATGTGATCCCTAATTCGTTTTGATTAGTTTATGATAGTATGATACTGCCATGACAGTATTAACTTAATTATTTGGTTTGTTTTCTAGGCAACGATGTATCAGAAGAGGTTACTTTGCCTTTAGGGCCTGTAGCTTCCAGAGAAAGCACTGAAAGCACCCCTGATGAATCTTCCCTGAAAAATCTTGAGCGTGAAATCGCTCTACAACAGTTGCACGATCTACCTTATTTGTCACCTAGCACGCGTTTTTACAAAGGAAAAACTTGCAAGGTATGTCCATAATACACTTATATTTTTGCTACTTAAAAACACTGTATTAAGACTTAAATATACTTATTTTTTGTCATAAGTTGGTTAGGCGCCGACAAGCAATTCTTGGTCGGCCGACTATTTAGTTGCAAAAGTAAAAACAAGACATTCTTATGGAGCCTGTCGTCATGTAATCACCATGCAATTAGTGAGATCGAAAACTGTGATGGACCGCCGAGGAGCAATGTCCTGGCTGCGTCAAGGCGAAGCCACTCTGTGGTGTGTGCCAGGCCACAGCAATGTGGTGGGCAAGCAACAGACAGACTCAAAGAGGGCACCAGGGGAGAGGCCGTGGCAGACGACCCACCACTTGTGAAGATCAACACACTTAGAAAAATATAGGAACTACCGTCAAGGCCAAACAGCAAGAGACAACGGCAACACCGTAAGTACTGCGTTACAGCTCGAAGACTGTGGTCAGTGGTAGATAGCAAAAAGACAAGACAACTACTAGACCACAAAAAGAACGCATAATTGTAGGTGTCGTCACTGGAAACTGTCCTACGGGGGTAAATCTCGTGAGATGGAAGATTTCCAACAACGATTACTGTAGACGGTTTTTTGGAGGGACTAGAGGAAACAGCAGAAGTTATCATCAGCGACATCGGCAACTTTGTAAAGAGCTGGAAGTGCTTTAACGCAAAGAAATAATGAGAGGCAGGTTTGGTACAATAATGCAGGGGTATGGCAATGGACCCAAGGCCTCCGAATGAGAGACCAAACAGGATCCCAAATCATAGCAAGCTAACCTAACCCAACCTATACGTGTGAGCGCGGCTCCATAAGAATACATTGTTTACAAATCTGTAACTAAATAATCGACCGACTAAAAATTGTCTGTCGGCGCATAGCCGAAAATGTATCTACTGATACCAATCTCACAGAATACCGGATTAAATGCGGATTTTTATGATAACAATATTAACTTTATTGGTTGAATTTAAATACTTTGCTTGGTTAGAAAGTGTCTTAGTTTTTAAATTAGATGCATTCTGAGTTATATTAATCTGAACCTTTCCTTAAGATTTTCTACATTTTTTCAGACTTCAAGTGAGTTTAATTGTCAAAATATGCGACTTTATTATATGCGACAAAAATTTGGGATAGTTACTTCAAAGGAGCCTGCACTTAATGTCAATTCTTTAAAGCTAATATTTTAAGGGATTGAAATAATCCTGTAGTTATTAAATATTTAATCTTCTTTAAAGACTTATCTTAAGGAGGTGCCGAATTTATCTCTGTCCGACGATGGAAAACCTAAAATTACGTCCAACACAAAGACGACTGCCGGACAAACCAAAAATAAAGAAGTTGGACAAAAACAAGCTGCAAAAAGTCCTAGCAAACAAAACCCAGACGAACCACAAATTAAGGTGAACCATTCAAATTTATTTAGCTCCATTCCCGATATGTCGTAAGTTTAATAAATGTTCAGGTAAACATGGCCTTAAAAACGTACTCGCGCAAGAGGAAATCGGTCGACAACGTTCCAGAACCCCAACCGTTAAAAAAGACTCCAACTATTTCAAACGCTCAGATTGAGGTGAAGACTAATATTCAATCGCCTCCTTTGAACGATGGAGTTTACGTCACCAAAAGTTCCAGGGTTATTAAGAAAAAGGTATAACATTTTTTTATGTCATATTTTATGTAATATATTGTTCGTCTTAGCTTTTGAATAAAGAGATTAAGGAAGGAAAGAGAAGATTTTCATATCAAAAAACTTCGAGCGCGATGGAGACCAAAAATGGCCGACTTAAATTTCGGTTTATTAGTGCCGTTTTAATTTTATTCAAGACGTGTAAAAATATGATGTAGGGTAGACTCAATAAATTGTTGTTTTATTTTACGTTGTCAATAAATGTTGGTAGTTATTAAAGTTATAAAAATATAATTCTACGGTAATCGCAAAACATTTTCCGATGCACGTCATCAATCATAACGAAATTGACACTAAAGTCTATAAACCTGACTAAATGAAATTTTGGCAAAAATGGTTAAATTTATTGTATTGTTACGGATTCCGTGGGTCCACTAATTTAAACTCACGATAAAATACTTAACGAATTCATTTTTCTCACTATTTACACACAATTTGTACTAATTACAACACACAATTAACTTTTTATAAAATTCCTTGGCCAAATTGTCACGATTCACAATTTAAAACGCGGTGTTTTCGAATTCAAACTGTCCCAACTGCCGATCGCGCGCCTTTATATACCTTACTAACTGTTTCCTCCTATTTCTAGGATTCTGTAGTATTTCTTTTACTTGCTAGTAAATTCTTGACAATGTAGGCAGCCAGCAATACACGTTGCGGTTTAGTTTCTCGCTTCTCCGACAGATGGCGCCATCACCTTAACAGTATAATTTAAGATCCCGAGCAGCTTTTCATTTTACTTTATAGAGCAAATGATTGTAACAGATATATTGTCAAGAAAAATGGCCTATCCGCCAGAAATTAAAAATGTATTACTGGTTGCCTGCACAACCGCAACGTATCCGCCAGAAATTAAAAGACTTTTTCAGGCGCCATCTTTTAGTCAAGTCGAGAAGTAAGGGAATCAGACAATAGAATTGTCTGGTATGAAGAAGTACGCTTTCCGAGAATTGGGGAAATTTCGAGAAGCAGTCAATAGAGTATATAAGCCGGAGCCATCGACAACTGAGACAGTTTTTGAAATTTGAATATACCACGTGAAAATTGAAAATCGGACAATTTGGTGAAGGAATCTTATAAATAGTTAGTTTGTTGTGTGTTATAAGTTAGTAATTGTGTATAAAGTGAGAAAATAAATTCGTTAAGTATTTTATCGTGAGTTTAAATTGGTGTCGGAAGTGCGATTCAAGAGGATTTTAAGAAGAAATTAAGTGGATTGGACGATTTTTACACCGAATTTGGGAATTTTTATGGTTGGTACGAGACAGCAAGCGAAGAAAATGGAGGAAGTAAGCAAACTATTAGGCGATTTTATGGAGAATATGAGAAGAGAAAAGGCAGAAGAACAAGAGAAGCTGCGAAAAGAGAAAGCAGAAGAACAAGACCGCCTACTGAAAATTCTGGAAAATCAAGACAAAATTTTCGAAGATTTGAAAATTCAACGACAACAAGACAAAGAAGAAGAACAGGACCGGCTTGAGAAAATTTTAGAAGATATGAAAATTCAACGACAACAAGACAAACAAGAAGAACAGGACCGGCTTGAGAACATTTTCGAAGATTTGAAAATTCAACGACAACAAGACAAACAAGAAGAACAGGACCGGCTTGAGAGAATTTTTGAAGATTTAAAAATTCAACGACAACAAGATAAACTAGAAGAACAGGACCGACTTGAGAAAATATTAGGTAATTTAGAAATTCGTTTGGAGGAGCGACGTCATAGAGAAAGACAAGAAGATCAAAATAGTCTTAAAAAGAACTTCGAAGATCTGGAAAAAAGACAAGAAATACACCTTCAAGAAGCCGTAGAAGATCTGGAGGAGCGCCTTCAACAGAAAATGGAAAAATTAGAGAAGGACCTACAGAAGACCAAGGCACAAGCAAGGACACCTGGCGTTCCTGGAACTGCAAACCTCAAGGCCCCGACCTACGATGGACAAACCACCTGGACGATGTACCACCGCCAGTTTGAAGCAGCCGCCGCTGCCAACGGATGGTCCGACCAGGACAAAGCAGCGGCACTTGTCATCGCGCTGCGTGGCCCTGCCCTGGAACTGTTGCAAACTATTCCTGCCGCCCAACAGCAGGAATACCAAACTTTGGTCGCTGCACTGGACAGAAGATATGGCGACCAACATCGAGGCCAACTTTACCAGGCCCAGATCAAGACACGCCTGCAGAGGTCCGGAGAGAGTCTGCAGGAATTTGAAGCAGACTTACGTCGGCTGGTACACCTGGCATATCCAGAAGCACCGGAAGGATTTAGGAGGAACTCGCTGCTCAGTGCTTTATCAGCGGACTGAGGGACAACGAATTACAGAGGGCGCTGCAAATATCCCGATTTTCTACCAGCAGCGAAGCACTGGTCAGGGCGCTGGAAATCGAAGCTGCATTTAGCGCCATCCCTAGACCGAAGATAAGATCGGTAACGGTTGAGGAACAGCCCGGAAGTTCTCACATACGTTTGGAGGAGATGTTTAGTAAACTATGTGAGTTACTAGTGAACAAGAGTAGCAACAACACCCAGACAGAGAGCTATAGAAGATCACAGGACATAAGGTGCTTTAGATGTGGCAGGAATGGCCACATCAAACGGGATCGCGTTCAAATGCGATCCCGTTCACCATCCAGAGAACGTAGGCACCAGGAAAACTAAAATCAGTCAATACTAAGGGGCGAGTATTGACTGGGGAGAACAGAGCCCCAGGATTTTTTCCATTAGAAGTCTAGGAAGAACCGCTGACAGTTTGGTGATCGACGGGAAAGTCAATGGAAAGGGAATCCGAATGACAGTGGACACTGGCGCTATGGTTTCGTTGGTGCGGGCTAACTCAGTGCAAGGATTGAAGCTGATGCCTCTGAGAAGAAGAGTATGTTTACGTACAGTTAGGGGAAATGGCCGTTGTACGGGGAGAGGCTATCGTCGAACTGATGTTAGAAATTTGAAGTTCCAGCATAGCGTTTTAGTGGCAGATATTGAAGATGACTTCATCTTGGGCATGGATGTGATTCGTCAACATGGATTTTCGTTCGATCACCAGAGAAATATCCTGAATATCGGAAATGAAGAGTTTATGTTATCTCCAGACGAGGGACCAGGAAGAATGGATGTAAGATCAGCGGAAACTGTGGTGATACCTGGTAATACCGAGAAGATCGTATTCGGTAAAGTGGAGAAAACCGCTGGGTGCTGTGTTGGACTGGTACAAAGTAGCGACAAGAAACAAGATAGGTACTTAGTAGGAAAATCATTGGTGAACACCGACAAGAATATACCGATCAGAATTGCGAATGTTTTCCCTGAATTGTGTCAAGATCCAAAAAGGTGACAAGATAGCCATCTGCGAACCTGTAAGAAGTGTCACCCGATGTGATGAAGTGTCGTCAGCTGTTACACAAAAGGCATCCCAAGAAACACTAAAACATCTAGAGCAGCCATGGGATCACCTAACATCTGAGGAGAAACAGAAGGCTAAGGAGTTCCTGCTAAAGCATGGCAGTATTTTTGAGAAGAACAACAGTGGAAGAACGGATTTTGTGAAGCACCGGATTAATACTGGTCATGCTCAGCCGATTCGACAACGTCCTAGAAGGGTGCCCTTTCCAAACAACAAGAAATGGAGACAATGGTAGATAAGATGCTAGAAGATGGAGTTATCGAAGAATCATCGAGTCCATGGTCATCTCCTGTTGTTTTGGTGACGAAGAAAGATGGTAGTACACGATTCTGCGTGGACTATCGGAAGCTCAATGACGTCACTAAGAAGGACAGCTACCCACTGCCACGTATAGACGACACGTTAACCACACTGGCAGGTTCGTGCTGGTTCTCCACTCTCGACTTAAAGAGTGGATACTGGCAAGTTGGTCTGGACGAGGAAGACAAAGAAAAAGACGGCTTTTTTACAGGAAACGGACTATACCAATTCAAGGTCATGCCGTTTGGATTATGCAATGCTCCAGCCACTTTCGAACGTCTCATGGAGGTGGTGTTAAGAGGATTAACTTGGAAAACGTGCTTGGTTTACCTCGACGATGTATTGGTTATGGGAAGAACTTTTGAGGAGCATTTGCGAAATTTAGAAGAAGTCTTTGGCCGCATACGGAATGCTCACCTGTACTTGAACCCGAAGAAGTGTAGCTTATTCCAGCGACAAGTGGAATTCTTGGGTCATGTAGTCTCGGCAGACGGAATTTACACCGACCAGAAGAAAATCGCTGCGATCAAGGATTGGCCTAAACCTCGCGACAAACATGAACTTAGAAGTTTTCTGGGTTTATGCACCTATTACAGAAGATTTGTCAAGGGATTTGCCAATATAGCTGCACCCTTACATAGACTTACAGGTGATGAAGTCGGCTACGAATGGAACACCGATTGTGATGTAGCCTTTGGAAGACTTAAGGCGGCTTTATGTTCAAGTCCTATTCTAGCCTACCCGCAACAACAAGGGAGGTATATCCTGGATACCGACGCCAGCAATATCGGCATAGGTGCAGTGCTATCACAAGTGCAAGATGGCGAAGAACGAGTGATAGAATATTACAGTCGAGTTCTATCCAAACCAGAAAGGAATTACTGCGTTACCCGGAAGGAGCTGCTAGCAATTGTGAAGGCAGTTGATCATTTTCATAAATATCTGTATGGCCAAGAATTTTTAATTAGGACAGATCATGCGGCTCTCAAGTGGCTTATGGAGATGAAACAACCTGAAGGCCAAATAGCACGATGGCTCGAGAAGCTCCAGCAGTATCACTTTACCATCCAACATCGTGCTGGGAAGATGCATGGTAACGCAGACGGTTTATCCAGAAGACCCTGTCAAACCGATTGTAAGCACTGCTGTAAAACGGAACAACGTGAAGGCACTGTCATGATAAGGAGTTTTAAGCTTGGAGCTGATGAACAGTGGACGACGGCACAGTTGAGGAAAGACCAAATGGAAGATCCAGAC